TGAAAACAACTTGCCAGAGAAAAATATTAGAGGTATTTTTTTCCTATAGGCAAAAATTTAATAAAATTATTTGGAATGAACATTATTCCTTAATATTCTAACCCCCAACACGAATCTGTATATAACACAGTGCACATTTATATATATATCAGAGAAGACACTGGCAGGAAACAAAGGGCACACTCAAACCGGTTAATCTGATGGCTATCGTTCCAAGGACTTTACAAAGGAGTGGGGAGAACTTAGGGTCAACAAGGGATAGTACAGAACTCCAGAGCTGGTCATCTTAAGAAGCTGTGGCCAGCCTGAATTTTAAAGGGGCAAGGGAGGTGAGTGATTATTAAAACCCAGACAGGGTCATCATACAAAGACAGTCCTAAGAGAAGTAATGGCCTTGGACAGAGGGCAATATAGACACCTCTACAGGCGACTCTACAGAGAAAAACCAAGGCAACAGATACCCCAAACTCATTCTCCCACTACAAGATAATCTTCCAGTCTCCTTTCACTGCTTGCTCCAATCAGAAGGCAGACAGCAAGAAGGGAGTGTGTCAATATTCATAAAGTCAGGTTTCCAGGGCAGGGAACAAGGCAAGGATGGGAGTAGGGGGTTCTGAAGAGCCACCAGCCCTTTGGTCTTCATCTACCTTACATTTCTTCTCCTGTTTATCTTCCTTCTCTTTTTCAGTGACCAAAAGAGATGTCTAGAAACGACTGAATTATAATCTCTAAATCATCAAAATCATCCTATAATCTGGTATAAAAGAAGTTCTCCCCAAATCTGAGCCATAGGTTATATCTGTATTTGGCAAAATAAACAAAGTCTTGAAATTATTATCACTGATTTAAATGTAACCCTAGCCTTCAGGTGAGCTAATAAGCTACACAACTTTCCTTCGATCTGCATAATAAGAAAACCCTCTCTGTTGTGCAACCAATTTTTGTGAGGAAGTGAACACTTCCAACACCCACAGTTTAAACTGTAGAGATCTGCAAAAGAACTATAGATGAAATCAGGTTCCAGTGAGAGTTTCTTAAATTGTTTCCTACTGTATTCCATAAAATGGATATTACTAGCATTTCAAATAAAAATAATTATTCTACACATTCCAAGTTTCCATTTACATGATGTCCAAGAATAGATGAAACTTACCAATAATGACACAAGTCAGAATAGCAACTACCTTCTGATGAGCAGAAGCAGGCTGAGGCTGGGAACACACATGAAGGAAACCTGCTGGGTGCTGCTGGAAATGTTCTGGAACTGTCTTGTTTTATTTGGTACATGTTTACACACATATCAAGAATCATTGGGTTAAAAAATTTAGGTGAGTTCATTTTAAACACTCAGTATTTGTTTAGATATGCCTCAACTTAAAAGAAATAATTATTCTATTAAAATGATTTTCATAATGACCTCTTTAGCACATATCCTAACAAAAGAGATTTAAATTTATGCATTTACCAGGAGTCAGCAATTTTTATCCATACATTGCCATTCAACTCTTTTTTTAACTACAACAGCCACTGGCTCTTTTTGCATTATAGCTGTAGCATTCAATAGCTGCCACAAGAGACCTTAGGAAGCACAACAACTAAGATATTTATTCTCTGATCCTTTACAAAAAAGTTTGCCAAACTCAAATTTAAGTTTCAAGTGACGTATCTAAATTGTCCCTTTTGTAGGATAATTAAGATCAACCTCACATGAATACAAAGTAACAAGAGGAAGATCAATGAGACACCTTAATAAAGTGCTTAGTTAACAGTGGCCATGAATCTCACCACACTCTAACATAGGGGCGCAGTACCCTTTTGCTTGACTTGCACTATGGGTTTAAGACCCTGATCACAAGTTAGCATGCTAAGTTTTATACAATGTTCATTTTTTAAAATCTGCCAACATTTCAAAAGTAGGAATGTGCACTTTTTAAAAATCCAAAATTTTACCTTCTCATTAAAAAGAAAACAAAAATCTAACAATATTAGAACCATATTCCTATAAGGTGACATATAAACAGGAACAGAGAAGCTCAGCATCAACTGACACTTAGCACTGAACTTGCACAGTCCATGTTCTTCTAGCAGAGTTGAATGAGAAATACAATATTGCTTCTATATGTGACTACACAAAAAGAGAAAAACAAAAACTAGGCAGAGGTCCAGGGGCTTCTTAACACTCAGCTCCCTTGCTGCCTGATTGGCTATTGTGGGCACTGAGTTACAAGCACAGGCTTAAGCACCAGCCTCCAGGGAAAATGGCAGAGAAGAATCAAGAGAGTTCTAAGAGCCAGAAGGTTCAAAAGAGCCAACAATTAATTCAATGCTTGCAAACATCCAGTGGCAGAGATCTCCCTATCTTCTACGCAGCCCTACTCCCACTGTGGGGCAATTCTGCCTGTTAAAAATCTTCTTCATACTACTGTTGCAACTTCTCTGAGTCTACAATTATTTCAAAACAAAGTTTTTTTTAAAGCTTTTTATACTAAGTAAACATCTGTCTTTGTATAACTTAATTGGTTGTTAGCTGTAAGGAGAAGCTTAATCCTCTTCTACAAGATGATTATCATGAATCTCTGTAAGAGATTTTTCACCAAGTCTCCTTCCTCAAGTACTAGAAAATGAACAAGACGATCAACTCTCTTATTCTACAGTTCTCATTCAATCAGCAAATATTTTTTGAGTGCCCATTATTAATTGGGTACTGTTCTAGACTCAGGTTATCATGTAAACCTGTGGAACCTTACAACATAAGCTACTATTAGCCTTTTTGGTGGCCATATCATACTACTAATTTACTGTACTAACTTTAGTCCACTAAACTCCCAGTTTTTTCTTATATTCACTACTTAAACTGTATTCTTAAACAAATGGATTATTGAATCCAAATTTTTAGAATCCACCATTCTCTCCAATCTGTCAAGAAATTTCTGGAATATTAATTTCTTTTCCACCTAACACACTCCCTATATCTTCTAATTTTTTGTTGTCAGCAAATCTGATAAATCTATCCCTCTATACAGTAATCCAACTCAGTCATAACAATGCTTAACTGTATTAAGGTTTCCAAGAACTCTGTGACATGACATTATGCTATGCTAAATTTCAGATACAGTGTGCTCACCAACTATCCCCCAATCACCTTGGGGAAAAAAGATTCTTAAAAATATTTTATATATGTCTTAAAAAAAAAAAAAAAGAAGCAAGCTGTAACAGTTTTATTTCAGTGCCAAAGTAACTAAGGTAAAACACTTCACCCTGTCTTCCATCATACATGAAAATCATAAGGTTTTATTTTATTCAAGAGGTGTCTTCAATACAAATACCTAAGAACATTAATTTAAAAAGAAAAAAATGGCAGGACAGATTCCAAAATAAAACAGAAATATTCTTAAATGCTAGGTATATTTTTAAAATGAAAATTATACCACTGGATACAAAAAGAAATGCTGTCCTTAAAAAAATTATCTAATTACATAAACATTTACACACTATAGCTCTAACCACAGTCCAGATGAACACAATTAGCAAATTTAATCCTTGAAACTGTATTCTATTGTTAAAACCAAAAAACTTCTTTTTCAACTAAAAGATTTTGCCTTTAATCCAGTCATTGGTGGTTATTAAGAAATGGAAATGTGCTTGAATTTGCACAAGTATATTTGAACTTTATAAAGTCTACAATTCACATTCAAGAGTTAGGTTGAAATCATTTTTTAAAATGCTAATATATGTGAATAAGGCATAAAGCATGACATACAAATTAAATTTCAGCACTTGGAACTGAAATACAAACAATAAGCTAATTCATGAATATGGTAATAACCTCTCTGGCACAAAATCTGAAAGCATTTTATGCATTTTAAGTGAATTTTAAATTTTAAGTAAATTTCCACAGTATTAACTTCAAGTTTTAGAATTTCCATTCACACAAGTCATTATACTGACACAATCTGCAATTTATGACAATTTGGCAAAGCTAAATTAAGTTGATTTTTTTCCCTAAAGAGAAAAGTTTAGCCGAACAACAAAGCAAACAAGTTTATATGAAGCATGTATAACTTTAAAATAAATCTTGTCACACAATTAGGGAAGCATCATTCTATGCTACTTAAAAATGATTCTATGCATTAAAGCCAAGTCCATATTCTCCATATCACTTCAATCTAGTAGATAATAAATCCACTTTAAAAGAAACAAAGCGGGATTTATTATAAAATACTCTAAATTTGTTGCTCTTTATTAAATTCCTAAATTTATCTGATGAACTCATTTAACTTGCTTATATAACTTAAACTTATAAAAAAAAAGCTACCTGCAATAATTAGATATCAGTGATAAGGTAATTAAAACAGACACTTCACCCTGTCTTCCATAATATATGCAGGTTTTCAATTTATTTAGTGAAGGTGAAGGCCTTTACCACTAGTGGTTGTCAGGAGTGAACTTCTATCCTGCTGTGCTATGTCCTATTTAGTACACAGCAATCCTCCCTCATCTGCAGTGTTGCTTTCTGCAGTTCCAGCTACCCACAGTCAACCTGGATCATCATGGCTTGAGATTATCCTGAAATATTGTCAGAAGGTCAACAGTAGCCTATTGCTGAGTCACAATGCTTACATCATCTACCTCACTTCATCTTACCACGTAGGCATGTCACCTCTCACATCATCGGGAAGAAGAATGAGCCCAGTAAAATATTTTGAGAGAGACAGAGAGGGACCACATTCATGTAACTTTCATTACAGCATGTTATCAATTGTTCCATTTTATTATTATTGTTAATTTCTACTCTGCCTAATTTATAAATCAAATTTTATTAGGTGTGTGTGTGTGTGTGTAGCAAAAAAACCTAGTAAACACAGGTTTCGATACTACATGAGATTTCAGGTAACCAGTGGGGATCTTGGAAAGTATCGCCATACTACTCCAAATTTTTTTCTTGCTCTTTAAGACTTTTAAATTTGAGGAATTAAAGAATGTTACAGAATCCAGCTTACCTGAATATATTTCCGCTGAGTTTCGTCATTTAAAACATGTGCAACATGCTTAGAAAAAATCTTTTCCCTGCCAGTTCTGGCATGGATACCAACCATAGTGACACCAATAGGCCAGGGAGCATTTCCAATGGCCATCTGAAGGTAAGCATCATTTGCCTGAAAGGAAGTTTAAGAGATCAGAAAGGCAGAAATATTGTATTGGTTCAAATTTTTTTAATATTTTTTTATTTATATACAACAGTGGAATGCATTACAATTCTTACAACATTAGAGCACATTTTTTCATATCTCTGGTTGTATACAAAGTATATTCACACCAATCCGTGTCTCATACATGTACTTTGGATAATGATGTCCATCACATTCCACCATCATTTCTAACCCCATGCCCCCTCCCTTCCCCTCCAACCTTTGCCCTATCTAGCGTTCGTCTATTCCTCCCATGCTCCCTCTCCCAACTCCACTATGAATCAGCCTCCTTATATCAGAGAAAACATTCGACATTTGGTTTTTTGGATTCACTTAGCATTATCTTCTCTAACTCCATCCATTTACCTGCAAATGCCATGATTTTATTCTCTTTTATTCCAAATTCTTATTTCAAGTATTTCACAGCCTTTTATGACTAATTCTCAGCCAGCCCTGAGACATGTCGAAAATAATATGCTCCTCTTTTTCCTCTCGTCCAAGTATAAAAGATTAAAATATGGTGTGAGTGCCTGCCCTGCCCAGGACCACAAATGCTCATGAAAAAACAGAAGTCAAAGATAAGGTTGTAAAAAAACAAAACAAAAACGGTGGGGCATGGTGGCACAGCCTGGAATCTCTGCAACTTAGAAGGCTGAGGCAGGAGAATTCCAAGTTCAAGACCTCAGCAAATTACCAAAATAAAAAACAGAAAGGGGTGGGGATGTAGTTCCATGGTAGAATACTCCTGAGTTCCATCCCTGGTACCTTTTAAAAAAAGAAAATAACAAACACTCCTTTGCAGCCTTTTGGCAGTGGAATTTAATACATTTCATATCTGGAATTAGCAGGTAGCTAATTTGATGCACTGACAGAAACTCTAGGTTGGGTCTTAGACCTACTTCTCTACACTGATGGATAAAACTTATTCCTTGTCCCACCTGAAATCACATCTAATCACTTCACAGCATTCATTATACATTGTCAGAAGGGGGAGGGGTGTTCCATATGGTGGGATGACTATTCAGGGTCCATAACTCTGTGTAAACAGAGTCTGAATTCTGGCCCTCAAGTCAAAGAGCTGAAAGAAAAGACTGGTTCATCTCTTTGGCCTCCCAAATCTCCCACCTACCAAGAACCTTAAAATAAAAGCTATAAAAAGTGAAGCCAGAAACCAATGCAAATGGCTCTTTTTTAAAAATCAAGCCAAAAGCAAATAAATTCTAAAAACCCCTGAGGATTTCTAAGTAGGCCTCAAAGAGATTTTAATTTCAAAAATCAAATATCTATGTAATTGATATGTAGAGTTGAGTTTTAAAAAATTAAATACTATAAGATAGGTTAACTAAAAACCATAAAGATAAATCCAAACTTGCTTTGCTAAACAGATTTTATAAAACTTAATTTTAATGGCACATATGCATATATTTATCACTGATACTCATGTGTAAATTTAACACTGGACCTTAATCGATGATAATTCCAATACTCAGTTTCCCTAAAGTTACAAAAAAAACTGTCCAAATACATTATTAAAATTTCTTGATTCTTTCTGTAGTTTAAATAAACAAGTTTTCATCTGGTTCTGATATATAATCATGAGAAAAAAATAACAAGAGAAAAGGCATCATTCAGCAAGCAGGTGATGTGAATACTTTCTGAAGTAATGTTGACCTTATCCATCCATTCCAATTAAATCATTCTTATTAGGAATCATGCAATTGATATAAACTAAGAATGAAATTTCTAACCACAACACACAAAAAGTTTTCTTTTGAGAGTACTGGCTCTTTTAAGGAATGAAATTACCACATTACTCTTATTAGTCTAAATCTCTAAAAAAGAAAATCATCCAATCACCCAGGAATGCCAGCAGTCCCCTCTTTCCTTTTCCAGTTCTCTGGTATTATTACTGGGATTGCTCCTCTACTCCTAGTCTCCTAGGAGGCAGTCACCAGAAGCAGCCCTCCTTACACCTGTCACATCTCCAATACACAGTACAAATGCACAGGGCCTTTCTCTCCTTGTTGCCTTCTTGCAACTGACTGCTCTCCACTTTCCCCTTCTAATTCCCTCACAGGAGTCCCTCACACCAGAGTGCTTTCCTGCAAACCACCTCCTCCCAGAGTCCATTCAGGAGTAAAGACACTGCAGTGAAGGAGGACAGCCTTCCTCTGCAAGAGGTTGGCTGTTGTTGCACTATTGAAATGAGAGAGAGGAATCCTGACAGCTTTTTCTGGACCATTTCCCCATAGAAATAATTACAAAGAGTAGTTAAATTCCATTGTATCATCAGTACAATAGTTCAGCTACATTACAGATTAAATGGGCCTTTATAGCTAGTCTGGGAAACTAATCTATAAAACATTGTTTCTATGGGAAAAAAAAAAATTGTTCCAAACCACAATTGACCATTTATAAACCTTGAAATACAATCTCATTCATTAAATAAACACTGCCTATACAAAACTCATGCTCCGCAGAACCTTTCAATCTACTTTAACAATGACTGAGAATATACATTTTGTGGCCTGTGGTTTATTTGATGTCTAACAATAATGCTGAGAAAACAATGGAAAACAAAACTTTTCTTACTAATAGCTCACTTCACATTTATTCTAAACCATACTATGCAAAATGCCCCCAATCCAAATGAACATTATGTACATAACCTAAATATATTCATAATAATTTCAATGGATAGCATAACATACCTTTACATATTCCCTCTGCAACATGAATTTAATAATATCTGTTATCGATTCTTTAATGTCAGCAGGAAGATTCTGGAAAAGAAAAAAGCATAACTAATTTTAGCAGCTATTATTTAGTGAAACACAAGTAATAATTATTCTAAATCTCTATCTTCTAATTTTCAAAGTCAGTTAATAAAAGCATTTCTCGAGAAAACCTTACCCTTTTCCGGAGCTTTCTGAAAAGTGGTCTGAGATAGGACTCAGTCTGCTTCTGAGTAGCACTGTTCAGTTTACCCTGCACACTGCGTTTCACATAATCTTCTCTGGCATTCAATTCCTTAGCCCAAACACCAAGAAGAAACTGTTGAAAGAAGGAGTAAATTGAGACTACAATGCCATCTAGTGGTTTAATGAGTTTAAAAGCACTATAACACAAAAAAAACAGTACATTTTCATTCTTAAAGTAAATGCCTTGGTTAGTTAAAATATTATCAAATAAAGTTTAACTATTTCTGCTTATTTTCTCATGTTTCTTTCAAAGTATTATCTTTAGTGAGTCACAGACATTCCTAATCTATGTATCCTAGCTCAAGATAACCCATTTGCTTAAAAAAAAAAAAAACAAATTTCTTAGCCAGGCACAGTGGCATATGCCTATAATCCCAGTGGCTCCACAGGCTGAGGCAGAAGGATCCAGAGTTTAAAGCCAGTCTCAATAAAAGGAGGCACTAAGCAACTCAGTGAGACCCTGTTTCTAAATAAAACACAAAAAAGAGATGGGGATGTGGCTCAGTGGCTGAGTGCCCCTGAATTCAATCCAGTACAAAACCAAAAAAAATTCTTAGTTAATTATTTGAATAAACTTTTACTTTATTTGCAAAAATTGTACCTATTACATAAAATTTGACCAAGTTAGATTAATCATCCATAAGACCATATGCACTATGATACTTAGTCTCCCAAGTATGCTGTATTATTTGAACTACTTATGCAGTTCAGACAATAAATCAATTAAAAAAAAAAAAAAGTCCCACTAAAGCACCTGACTAAAGAAGGAAGAAAAAAAAGAAATGAAAATAAAGCAGACTGTGACCCATCCCTCCCACTTCTTGCCTCCACCCCCAGAAACAAACCTAGTCCCCTCTGGGTTTGACCATATACATGGTACTCCTTCCAAGGCAACGTGAAGGCTGAGGGGGACATACTCCTTTATGCACACCTACAAAGGAGAGGCCATCACTCCAAAATAAAAGACTTGTTCATACTAGTTCCATGCCTTATCCTCCATATATTTTAGAATCTTTATGACCAAAATAATATATTTAAAATGGAAATACAAGTAAAATCATTCTTTATACTTAAATCTCAGACTGAACAGCTTGTGAATAAACATTAAAAACAACTAGGCTTAACCAGAGATATAAACGCCTATAATAAAGATAGAATTAGGGGGCCGGAGCTGTAGCTCAGTGGAACAGCATTTGCCTGCAACACATAAGGCACTGGGTTCGATCCCCAGCACCACATAAAAATAAATAAATATCCATCTACAATTTTAAAAAAATTATTTAAAAAAGACAGAATTAGCAAATCAAATAAAAAATAGGCAATTGGGGGCTGGGGTTGTGGATCAGAGGTAGAGTGCTCGTCTAGCATGTGAGAGGCACTGGGTTCTATCCTCAGCACCACATAAAAAAATAAAATAAAGGTATTTCCACCTACAATTAAAAAAAATTTAATTTAAATAAATAATAGGCAACTGTATGTACAAGTGAAGAAATGAACACTCTGGAAGGTGACAGATATGTTTACTTTTTGTATTGCCAGTATCTTTCCACTTCCTTCCTTTCCTTACTTTCACAGATATCTCATAAAAGCTTATGGAATCCAGCCATTGCACTCCTTCCTAGGCGTTAATAAAAAATAAGCAATTCCTCCGAATTTCTTGTTCATTCTATTGTTGGGATTCTTTTGTGTATGTTTATATGAATTAGTCAACTTTTGAGAAAAGTGTCACAAAGAAAGTAAATATACTTTTTCTTTCATTAACCACTATATACAAGTGCAAAGTGATGTCATAAACATAGCACAAGCACTCATGTTTTTTGAGAATGTCCCTATCTAGCCTTTAACCCTTGATACTCAAAAAATAGAAGAATAGTTTTTAAGCATTCAGAATGCCTCTTTCCCTCGCCTTTGATACATACTTTCAGGAACTTGGTGATGATGTCCATGTCCTTATGATCATCGCCTTTCCCTAAAGACTCCCCCAGTGTCTAAAGAAAAAGAAATGATACTTCTATTAATAAACAGAGAACAAACTGCATGGATGTATTCAAATGTGGTGTGTGTATATGTGACCAACACCATATTATTCAATGCTCTTTATCACATATTGTGTAATTTTTATTTAAAAATCTATTGGAATTTCTAGTTAAAAAAAAAAAAAAAAAAAAAAAAGCCCAAAACTCTGATTTGCCATTTCTACAGAGAAATTGTAATATCTTTTATAATTCCAAAGAGAGGTGGAGAGAAAAAAGAATCAGAGCCACATGTGGTGGTGCACGCCAGTAATCCCATTGGCTCAGGAGGCTGAGGCAGAAGGATCACCATTGGCACAGGAGGCTAAGGCAGGAGGATCACGGGTTCAAAGCCAGACTCAACAACTTAGCGAGGCCCTAAGCAACTCAATGAGACCCTATCTCTAAATAAAATACAAAAAAGGGCTGGGGATGTGATGGCTCAGAGGTTAAGTGCCCCTGAGTTCAATCCCCAGTACCAAAACGAAAAGACAACGAGGTAAGTACAATGACTCCTAATGGATATGAGATTTCTTCGGGGAGAAACAAAAGTGTTCTAATACTTAGTGATAACAGTTGTACCACCCAGTGAATATATTAAAATCCACTAAATTATATACTTTAAATGAGTACATCATATAGTATGTGAATATCTCAATAAAGCTTTCTTCAAAAAAGAAAGAAAGATAAAGAAGGCAGGTGGGAGGAAAGGAGGAACAAGTGAGTCCAACTGACAAACGGTTGCCCATACCAATTATTTTAGTAAAATTTAGGGACCTTCATAGGTGATGGGGAAGAAGTGATTAAAATGACACATCATCCTCAACAACAATCTTTACCCTTAGAGACCACTACAGGTACAAGAACCAGAAACAAAGGAAACAAAAAAATAACAGTTTGTATCTTATTAAGCATTAAAAAAATTGTAAGCTAAGCCATGTTTTTTACATGCTGTTTTAGTACACAGTGGTATACTAAAGAGTACTTATCACAAAGTTGTTTGTGATTAATAAGGAGCTGGGAACAATCCAGCTATCCACAATTATAAGGGAAAATATTGCCATAATATGCAGCAATTAAAAGCAAAGGTCTAAATGTACTTAAAGCATCAAGGATGAATCTCAAAAACAGCATGAAGTGAAAAAAATAAAAGTAAAAAAATAAAATAAGACTATCACTACATAATATTACTTATAAAAATAAAAATTATATGGACATGTTGTCAGATACCTGTAATCCCAACTACTAAGGTGGCTAAGGCAGGAGGATCACAAGTTCAAGGCTAGCCTAGGCAACTTAGTGAAACTGTCTCAAAATAAAAATTTTAAAAGGCCTGGGGTCTGGGCACAGCCAGCCTTAGCAACTTACCTGGTCCTAAGCAACTCAGTGAGACCCTATCTCTTAAAAACAAAAAACAAACAAACAAAAAACAACTGGGGATATGGCTCAGTGGCTAAGTCTATCTGGGTTCAATTCCCAGTACCAAAAAAAAAAAAAAAAAGGCCTGGGTCAACCCCCCAAAAATATGTATGCGTGCATACATGTGCATGTGTACACATAGTACACTGCAGATTTTACAAGAACACAAACAAATGCAAGGATCATATCAAACATATTATAATGACTAATGTTTGAGGTTAGGAAGTAGAGGAATGTGAATAAAGAATGAGCAAAAGAGGAATAAATGAATAAAAGCATGAAATAAAAGAAGGGCCTTTGCACTGACCCAAGATGGTAGTAGCTTTTCAGTAAACACTCTGATCAACTTAGCCATCTGCTCCAGAGGAAAAGTGGGTAATGGGGAAGGAGTTGGGCTGGGAGTGGAGACTACCTCTAACTCTTCAATTGTTGTGTTTTCTTCATGAACTTTCAGATCATTTTGTGTATCTTCCTCTCCAGGTTCTTGACCACCCACAATTTCATTGAGGTACTGTTGATCAATCTTATCCAAAGCTGCTTTCAGATCATTTCTCAAGCCCTAAGAAGAGGAAAAAGGGAGCTGGGGTTATAGCTCAGTAGTAGAGCGCTTGTCTAGCATGTTTGAGGATTTGATTCTCAGCACCACATATAAATAAATATAAATAAAGATCCATCAACAACTAAAATATATACATATATTTTTATTAAAACATATATTTATTAAAATATATATATGACAAAAAAATTTTTTAAAGAGGAGAAAAGAAGTACACCTATTATGAAATTTCACTAATGTTTCACCTTCGATTTTACAGTAATAAGAAGTACATTTCATTTTTCTCCCTACAAGGAGTTAAGAATTTGGTAAAACTAGTATGCATAATATTAGCATTATTCTCCAAAGTTAATTGTTACAAACATATTTAAAGGAATGTTTGCACAATGGCCAAACTGGTGGTTGGAAAAATAAAACAGACATGAGCAACAAATTCAAATAAGAATCTTCATAAATGCTGTAATTTTATAACAAGGCTTAGTAAAAATGACCAGATCTTCATTAGGGTCCCCATCATTCATTTAAAACATCCAACTTCACTGCAACTACTCTGAACTCCTCAAATATTTAGAATAAACCTGGCATCTCATCTATATGCCAGGTTCTCAACTTCATTTCTAGCAAACTGGCAAATTCCATATTACACGCATATTCACTGTATGACTATTTAATAAAAAATGGAATCCTCAGTTTCCTCAACATGAATGAAAATCAGCCATGAGGTGTAAAAGCCACAGTTGTGAAGTCTATCAAGCTTCAAATCTTTGTAGCTTACTACTCTTAGACAACTTACTTTACCCATGTATGCCTCAGTTGTTGTACCTATAAAATGAGAACAATACCATCTACTATGTAGAGCTGTCATGAGAAATATTTTTTGTTTTATTTAACATTTACTATATACTAGAACTGTTCCAAAAGCCTTGCAAATATCAAGTTATATAAATAGGCAAATTAATGTACACTGCACTTTCAACAGTCACTGGAGCACAGTAAGCATCCAACAAATATTAACTTTTGTTTATCACAAGCAATTTAATCATTTTCTACTGCTCTTTCATAAACATAGAAGAGAAATATTCAACTTAAAACTTTTAATTTACCAAATATCAAGTACTTGCTATGTACAATGCATAAGACCAGTACCCAACGAATATCTCCTTGAATTCTCACTACATCCTTGTAAAGCAGATATCACTGCCTTTATTTATAAATAAGGACTCTAGGGTTCAAGTAAATTAAATACTAGTCAGTGGCCCAATAATTAATAATTACAAATCAGGAATGGAATCCAGAGTTTTTGTTCCTATGCTCTTTCCTTAAAAACCACATATGCAAGACACTAGACTTGGCAAACAAAATTAAACCAGGAAAAGATAAATACATACAACAATCTAATATTAGTGAAACGCACTAACAGAAGTTTATTACAGGAGCATAGAGAGGGAAGCTATTAATTCTGACTGAGGCCATGGACAGGTTAGGAGAAGAGATATAATCTTTGAATTTTGTTTGAAAAAACAAAAGGTTTCAACCAAGGCATATAAGAGAGAAACAAAAGGCACAAGAAAAATGATCATTATAGACACAGAGACTGAAAGTGTTCAGGCAACTGTTTATGCCATGGGGCTAGAATGGCAATGTTGAAAAGTGAAGCAGGAAGGTGATTTGGCAATAAATAGGGAAAGCAGTCATGAAGCCCAAGCTAGCAAAAAGAAAACTACATGAATAAAGAGATGCCCAGTTAGGCCTCAGCAATTCTCACCTTCCATCTGAGATGCCAGGCACATAAGGACTAGTCCAGAGGAGTCTTTAGATGATTTCAGATGACTTTTATCTAAAGCAATCACATGGAAGACCCCAAGCAAAAGACAACCTAGCCCAACCAAACCACAAAACTGTGAGATGATAAGTTATCTAAACTACCAGGTTTCTAAGTGACTTGTTATACTCACAGATAAACAAAAAGATTTTATATTAATAAATTCCTTTACATGACTAAGTTTGGGGATGGTCTGTTGCGCAGCCATAGATGACCATACCATCTTTCAGTAATTGATAGAGCAAGTTTGATAAAACATTATTGAGGCCACAAAGATATGAACAACACTATCATAATTGACACTTGTAGAAATATATAACGAAATAAAAACATAACTCTTTTCAAGAGCCCCTGGAATGGACCACATATTGAGCCATGAAACAAGATCAGAGCCTCCATCAAAATCTAAAACTATTAATCTTCCAGAAGAAAATACAAAAGAAGGAGACCTTGGGGTAGGCAAAGATTTCTTAAGCACAACATAAACAACAACCATAAAAGGAAAAGCTAATAAACTTCATTAAAATTTAAACTGCTCAGCAAAGACATCATTGAGAGATTAAGACAGATACAGACTAGGAGAAAATAGTCACAAAATTTATAAATATACAAATAACTCCCAAATTCAAAAGATAATCCAATTTAACAATGAATATGACTAATACTACAGAAAGTCTATGAAAGATGTCTATGAAAAAGTAGAGATTCATCATCTTAGTAAACAGGGAAATATGAATAAAATCACAATGAGATACTACTAGATATACAAGAGAATGGTTAAAATTAAAAAGACTACCAATACCATAGGATGATATTTAGAAATGTCTGGCATTTCTTACTTAAGCATGTATCTATTTTTATTATTTAGCAATTCCATTTCCAGGTATTTGCCAAAGAGATAGAACATATTTACTCAAGAGAAAAAATAATAGGCCCAAATATGATACAGATATCAATGTTCACAGCAGTTTTATTTATTATAGCCCAAAGCTCAAAACGAACTGTACTACATTTATATAACTGAATATCATTGGGCAATGGAAAGGAAATTAGTGAATTCTGCAATAGCACGGGAGAAGCTAAAAAATGTTACACTGAGCAAAAGAAACCATATATACACTGAGGTTAGCCATATGAGACACCAGAACAAGTCAAATAAATAAAGGTGACAGAATTCAAAAGGTGGCTTCCTGGGAGTGGAAGAGGGATATGGGGATTGGCTATGAAGGGGCACTGGGGAACTTTCTGAGGTGATAGAAATATTCTATATCTTGATAAGGGTAGGGTTATACACTTGTATTTGTCAAAATGCACTAAACTATATGCAAGTTACATACATTTTTACAAAAGTAAACAGCATCAGAAGCAAGGGTATTTTTCAATTTTTTACATATAGTAACACAATTAAGTCAAACTCCAAACTATTCTAGTCAGTGGTATTTTTCTAACTTTAATCTGACTTCTTACCTTATTAACTTCTGGTGTGAGGATCTCTATTTTTCTTAAACGTTGAAAAGCATCATAATCAGTTTCTCCAAATAGTCTAATTGGTTCTCCTCTTTCTCTTAACCTTCTGATAACCTATAGAAAAACAAAAGCCTAGTAATTCATTTTATTTGTGAAACAGGGGAAAAAACTCAAACAATTTCCATACTTTACCTTAAAATGAAACCAGTGTTTAATAAAATGAATTATCTAAGTACATATTTCTGAGTGAAAAATAAAATATTTTATTCACCTATCTACACTAAATAAAGATGTCGGTGAATGAAAGAGAAAATACCTTAGTTAAAAGTCTATTTTGACTCAATGTCATGGCTATATATTTTATTACTGAATAGCTCCTAGAAAGTGGTCTGACATATAAATCTATAATTCAAATCTAGAGCAAGCCCCAAATATAGACCTCTCATTTTTTCTGCAAGACACACACACTCCTTACTTATAAGAACTAAGAGAAGGGATACAGTTTTGGTCCTCAATTTACATAACTGTGACTCAGTCCTCTTTTTAAAAACATCAAAAGACAATACTAATCCCCTCTGCCAACACACATTTTAGGTAATCAAACATCTGTTTTGAAATGTAGATGTAAAAAGTAAGTTGTATTTGTTTTTCCTTAATCTTCCATGAACAGATATGCTGTGCTATCATCATACTTTGAACAACAGTCCTCTGCTGGCCTGCTGCAGGTAGGATAATCTGTGCAGTAAGACACACAGAAAAAAACACTAAAGAGGGAAGAATGGCAGTTCTACAGAGAATAAAACTTGGAGTAAACAATGAATCCATAATCATAGCAAAGAGGATTCACCATAATACTATAGTAAAATTCAAAGAGAGAAAATGAGAGATGACTAGAAGGGGCACATGCAGGACTTTGGAAGTATAGATCCATACTTGATTTCATGACTTGGGTAATGTAATTATCCATTATATTACATCTATGTTTTATATACTCTTTGTGTACATTATGTTTCATTTAAAAAAGGAGAAAGAAAAATGTAATTAAGAAAATGAACTGATAAAAGAAAATGGATAATTGAAAAATTGATAAAAGAAAAAAAAAAAAAAACACTGCCACCAAGAACTTAATCTGGGAACATAAACAGTAAAACACACCTAGAAACCACTAAAAGGACTTCCTTGTATTAACTGAGGTTTGGGATTAAAACAGAAATTTAAGAGGTCATCTAGTGCCAATCAATGCAGGGGGAAAAAAAAAAAACCCTCAAAAATGTCCTTGTCAGATCCTTGAGAAGTAATAATCACATCTCTTCATGAAATATCCCACCCCAGGGCTGGGTTGTGGCTCAGTGGTACAGCGGTTGCCTACCATGTGTGAGGGTTCGATCTCCGCACCATAAATAAATAAATAAATAAAGTAAGTAAGTAAGTAAGTAAGTGAAGGTCCATCGACATCTTAAAAAAAAAAAAAAAGAAAGAAATATCCTACCCCAATTTCAGACTAGTATGCATTACTTTTCAAAACTGAAATCTGCATCCCTCAAGCTTCTTCCCATTGCCTAGTTCTATTTTAAGAAACCACAGAGAATATTCAATATTTTGCCAAAATTCAATGGATATTTTAAAAATATATTTACTAACTCTTCTCTTTAAGCTAACTATTCCAAATTCCTTTACCTATTTTCACATGGTGACTTCTACAGTCAGTCATCATTCCTATGAAGGTTTCCTTCTGTGTAACTCCACTATAATAATATGGAATAAGGAATAACAACCACAACTGCAAATGTATTGGCGAGAGGCACAATACCCACCCTCTGACCTATGTGCCACACTCTGTACTAATATTAAGCCCTACCCACAATCAGACACATCTAAAACATGGACAGACTGCTGAGGACTCACAAAGATTAAAGAAGATTGTCCAACTGTCTCAATCACAAATTTAAATAACCTAAATAGAAAAAAACAGAGAATTTGAGCTAGTTATTACTTTAAAACACTGTAAAGCTGAGGGCTATTAATAAACCAAGTTATGAGAATTATGCAGTATTTTTCTAAATACCAGTTTACATGGCTAATTCTCATCTGTCTGGGATTACATGACAGTGATTTTGCCTAAAGGAAAGGTAATAAACTATCTGAATTCAAGGTAGTGTGAGAATTCTATTATTCTAATTTTTTAAACTTGTATACAAAAAAAATTTTTGACACAGAGACCAAAAGGGATATCAGCTACATGGGAGGTTAAGACAGGAGGATCTCAAGTTCAAAGCCAATTAGCAACATCCCTAAGCAACTTAGTGATACTGCGTCTCAAAATAAAAAATAAAAAAGGACTGGGGATGTAGCTCACCTGGACTTAACTTCCAGTATCCACCCCCAACACAAAAAAAGAAAGAAAAATAGGGAATTAGAAAGTCTCAGTAACTTGCCCAAAGTAAAAACTTTCATATACAGTGTGTACACACAAACACACACATACACAGTCTTCAAAATATATTTTTAAGTGAAAAGAGCGAGGCACACAAGCATATAAATAATCTCACTTGTGTGAAAGGGAAGAAAAAGTATACACTTGCATACTGATGACTGTGTAAGTGAATGACTCTAGCAGGACTGAGAACAGATTAGAGGGGGGTATGGAAGATAGAAGATAGGAAGAAGAAAAGATATTTTTGTTTTATACCTTCTCTATAGTTGAATTCTTTAAATCACACAAATATCTCTATTTTGTAAGTAAAGTAATAGTTGCTATTGACCAGGATATGGGCAAACACTACAGGTAAGAATATAAATACTGGCATAACGCATCTAACATCTACAAAACCTTTTGGTAAACATGTATAAAAAAAAAATCTTAAAATAGAGTCTTTATGGGCTGGGGATGCGGCTCAAGCGGTAGCGCGCTCGCCTGGCATGCGTGCGGCCTGGGTTCAATCCTCAGCACCACATACAAACAAAGATGTTGTGTCCACCGAAAACTTAATAAATAAATAAATATTAAAAATTCTCTCTCTCTCTCTCTCTCTTTAAAAAAAAAAAAAAAATAGAGTCTTTGCCTCAGAAACAAATCATGCTTCCAGAAACTTTTCCACAGGAAATAATCATACATTATTATGCTTGTAATGATGTCTGTAAAAGAATGTTCATCTCAGTATTATTTATAATAGGGAAATGCTGAAGCAATCTAAAATGACAATTAAGAAAGAATTGGTTTTAAAAATATTTCTGTGCAAGCACACAATGGGAAATTACATAGCCGTTAAAAATTGTAGAGATTACTGTATTTTAACATGGAAAGATGTACGATAAGTAAGGGCAGTTAACAAATTAATAAAGTAATTTAGACAAAAAAATAATTTAAATATAATTATTTAGAAAACATGAATTCAATTATAACTTAACAATGTTTAATGTGTTTATCATTCAAAGTTTATGATATGCTCTTTAAAAAAAGTAAGAATACTATTAAGAAAAGAAGCAGAGGTTAATTTATAACCTAATGAAGAAAACTATATTGTAAAGGACTTTTAGGTCAGTAGGTCATCTTATATGAGAAATAATGACACATAACTCACGTAAACATGTGGAAAAAATGTTCCCATAAAATACTCATATAAACTTACCTCTTGCCTAGAAAGAGTCATGGGTAATTTTTCCTCTGCCAATTCAAGTTCTAATACTGGATTTGATGAAGTTAGTGGTTTCTGGTCCTCCTCTTTTGGCTGTATCTATATTAAGAGCCAAAAGAGATGAAATTTAGTTTTTAAAACACAGCCAATATTTATAATTCCATCACCTTAGCTATTCTTGGACATTAAATAGTTTCAGTACTGAAGGTTTTCTAAGTGTTTTTCTGAAGAAAGAAGTCATAATAAATGTACATGCTTTTAAGAGCTTATCAAACAGATCCATGTCAGAAACACAAGTAGAAAGCATGCACACGGGAGACAGCATTCTTGATATAAAATATTAACATAACCATAATGATTTGCAAAATCAAAACTCATGTTGCTAAAATTTACACTCTCCAAATTCTAAAACAAAAGTACTTTTTTCTTTTAAACAATCAATTTGCTTCGCCTTTGAGAAAAAAGTGTCCTACAGGGTTACCTGATTGTTGCTTAGCTTTAAAATGAAAACTAAAGAGAACTATTCTCCAACAGAAACTATGAAGCTTCAAGCTCTAGCTTTTTCCTATTTTTCCTTTTGAATGGTATTATTCCAACTGCAGAGAAATCACTATTGGACCTGTAGAAAAATTCCCAAGGTGATGCAGAACTGATCCACAAACTGAGCTAAATTCTTGTAGAAAAACAATGAAAAATGGCACTATTCTATACATGCCATCCAAGGAAAGAGTAACATTCTTGTTCATATGAACCTGAAGGTGAATGAGGTAGGAATCTCACATTTTTTACAAATATAGTGCCCAAATCACTGAGAAAACTGAGTTAAGCAATTTAGAAGCCCCACTGTGTGGTCTGCTGAAACACAGTTTCCTATCTAACCAGAAGACAAATCTAAAACACTGACTGTAGGAAAATCTAAAATACTGAAAGGAGGAATAAGATTCAAAGGACCATAAAAGCAAATTAACATCAATTATTATTAAATATTAAAAAGAAACTCAATTTTAAAAAGCTCTAATGGTAAAAAATTATGTAATAGCTAGGCACACTGGCACACACATATAATCCCAGTGGCTCGGGAGGCTGAGACAGGAGGATTTCGAGTTCAAAGCCAGCCTCAGCAATGGTGAGGCGCTAAACAACTCAGTGAGACCCTGTCTCTAAATAAAATACAATATAGAGCTGGTGCTGGGGCTCAATGATCAAGTGTCCCTGAGTTCAATCCCCAGTACCCTCCCAATTTTTTTTTAATTATGTAATAAATGACCTTGTAGTTTATGACTAAATGCTGGACTCATCCTAGTTGATACTGAGGTAAAAGACTGAACTTTCATATTTTCACAGGACAAATCAGGCCAAGCCTTAAAAAAATTGTAATTAGTTTCTATAAAGGGAAAAAAAAGCAATGGATACTATATTGTCACTACTACCAAGAAGGAGCTATTAAAAATATCCTCAAAAACAAAAACCTGTGATTTCTTCTTAAGCACATCAATAGGTGTTTTTCAAAACCCTCAGGACTAAAAGCTTTTTAAATTATATAATGGCCATTAATAGCTCTGGGGAAAAGAGCTAAGACATTTTGTCAGCTAGACTCAAAGTTACAACTAATATCTTTATAGTACTTATTTCACTTCAGTGCTTGCTTTCTTCTATGTAAGCAAAAAAGCCCTCCCACAAAATCTATGCAAAGCAAAAACTGCCACTTTCTTAATTTTTTTCCTACCTTATCAAGAAGTTGAAAAGTTCAAATTTAGAGATCTGGGAACTGAGAAATCATCTCTCTGAATTGGATACAACAATTATTTACATAGAACTTAATTTCCTAAACCAGAAGTAAATCAGTATCTTTATAGGAAATGACCAAGATGCAAATATAAGCTTTCATATATAAAAAGCCTTTAAAAATATTAACTATATTTTTCTTTAATACATGCCCTTTCCAACCCTACAAAATAAAACCAAATGCATATACATAACATTTGCATTCCTCATGCTTCCTTCTGGAAAGGCTATGCCATATAAACTAATTTCTAGAACCTTCCCTGTTACATGCACAAGAGTATTATTTTATATTAATGTTTCATGAGCAAAAAATTGATTTCAAATAGAATTTTGACAGAACCTCTTAATTGTGAGTTAAAATTATTAAACAAGATATAGAGTTAAAAAAAATAACTTAAACCTGACTTCTCCACCTCATAAGCATTAACCCCTCCCAATAAAACCCCCAGCACATTATCAACTGGTAATCTGAAAATAGTTTCAGTCATGCTTCCAAAACATACAAGTAAAGCCTTTCAGACAACTCATTTGTTTCTAAACAATATTTCAAAGTTACATTTTCTATTCAATAAACTAAACAGTATCTGAAATGTTATAACTTATTACAATAAAAGCATATATATATATATATATACATACATGGTGCTATATTTCAGGCAGAGTTACTAATGGCCCAAAAGGAATTATTAACAATACAATCATAATCAATGGCTGAAAATATGCGGGAGAAAGCAGGGGAAATGCCACTGCTAACATCACTGCTGCTGAAAGAATAAAATGAACTGGACTCTTCTGAGATACAGTTTTATTGGGAGAGGTGAGGGAGAGAAGTGGTGGTGGAGAGGAAAATAAGGCAGCATCAGATCCAGGACTTAATTTTTTAAAAAAGGTCAAGCTTTGATCTCAAGCCACTTCATGCTGTCCACAAAAAGCCAAACCATTCCGAGCCAAAAGTCATGCATATATTTTCCTAAATTCAAGAATTTTTTTTTTTTTTTAAAAAAAGCAAAACAAAAACAAAAACTCATACCTCTCCAGATGGCTTCTCACTTATAGGCTAATATGTAACATTGATAAATTGAACAGAGATCAATAATTTTGTCATTTAACAATAGCTATATAAATTTAAACGCAGAAATTTACAATTTAATTTAAAAGCTCACATTCATACCTTGTAGCCACATCTTTCAAAATATGCCTCCTCCTCTTTTTTCACAAGTTCACTGCGTCTGAAATATTTTTTATTTTCCTATCAAAGAAAAAAATAAGTTAATAATAAATCCTTGGCAAAATTTCATATTCCACAGTTATCAAGTGCTTTTAGAAAACTTTTAAAAATATTCTTCAGTTGCTCAAGAATTTGAGAGTACTTTTTGGTTTTCAATATGAACACATTGGGTCCCTGAAGCATGCTACCTCTCCTACACATAGGTCTGGATATTGATATGTGATGAATATTTAAATTTTTCTTGCACTGTCATTTTAATAAGTGTGTACAACAGCATACAAATCAACAATACTTTCCAAATGTTCCGTTTTAAAATTTAAGTTCCTAAAATATTTTATAATATTTCCTAAAATATTACAAAATATTTCCTAAGATAAATATAAATTCAAAGATAGTGTCTAAAAATGGATTCATTATAAATCACATAAAATGAAAGATAATGTCTAAAAATGGATTCATTACAAATCACATAAAATGGTATGTCTTAATTATTTTCACTTAACAGAAACAAACACTAATTATGGCATATATATATACCCAACTTCTAAAATCTCACTAATAAGAAGGTTCCAAGAGAATGTCTAAATTTTTTGATACTAATAGATAAGCTCTAAATCTACTGTGGCTAAAAAGATGTTAGTTCTTTATATATCCCATTGTGAAATCTGCAGCCTAATTTGTAATCTTACTACTATCTGCACCTCTGCCTCCTGGATCTTACTGCATTGATAACTTTGCTCAACTACAGATACTGTCCCATTTTATTAATAGTAATTATAACAGAATCTCAATAATACCTCTCCACATGTATTTAGCACCTCTAGTTTCAAAAGCTCATTAATTCAGGCAATTACCACCAGTAGATACTAAAATATTAAAATATTTAAAATATTAAATATTATAATGGTGACAATGGAAAGATCAGGCTGCCAATACTTGAGCCCATTGATCAAGCCTGGAATTTGTAAAAGATTATATACCTCTTTGTGATACCACAAGAAGTACTCAGCACCATCTATCAAATATGCTTTACCCTTACTGTAGGAGTAGAGAAGTAAACAAAATGGTAACAACAGTAATTAATCAAACAAATCTAGGACAGTGTACAAAATTAGTTCTCCTTTCTCCAACATGTCAATGGTGTTGAAGGGAGAGCAGCTGGAGGAATAAAAACATTCTTGATTAAAAGAAACCAATAGTCACAATAAATAAATTCAATTAGTCAAATTTGTGTGGATCTCTTTGGAACAAACCAACTGTTAAAAACATATATATGTATAATTTGACTGGGGATATGTTAATATGAATTTGATACAGCTTAAGGAAACTATTTTGTTAGATGTAATCATATTTTGGTGATATAAAAATATGTCTAATTTTTAGAGTTACAGGTACCAGGGGAAGGGTATACAATTCATTATACAATTCTATTTTTGTGAATGTTTAAACAAAATAAAGTTTACAAGTTCATTCATTAACTCCATAAACACCAACACACTTACCTACCATATACCAAGCATACACCCTTCAGATACAAAGATGAAGATATTACTGTAGCAAGAAATTGATGACATCATCTAATTATCAAACTACCACGACAAAAATGTGAGCAAATGATATTAATCCCCTTTTACAGATAAGTAAGTTGAGAATTAGGAAAGGCTGTAACATTTCAAGAACTTAATAAATCTGATGAGTAACAGAGCCAGGACTAAGAACTCTGGTCCTTAAATCCTTTGTACTTAGTTTTCCTAGCTAATTAGTCACTCTCAAAATTCAGTATTTTAGATTATTCCTTTTAACTATGTAGTATGTAACTATTACATTTCAAATAGGTAAGCTGGCAAACACTTATTAGCATCCTTTCAGGAAGAGCTGATATATACAAGAAGTAAAAGGAATGCCAAGGCCAGAGCCCAAGTCCAATTATGTTACCTCTGACTACCATGTCTCCATTCCACTGAATACCCCTAACAAAAGCTTAGGACTAGAATGTCTCAAAATGTCATCCATAGACCCCTACCTGCTGCTTTTCAAATATTCTTGCACTTTGTCCAAGTTGTACTTTCTAGATTATAAAACTAAAGATTCACAAGTCTAAAGTGCATACACTTTCCTACCACATTACCTGAAATGTCTGTCTTCACTAAATAAGGTATTAAATATCAAAAATAATATGCAAACATGATTGTCAACATGAATTTAGAATTACCATTCCTCCAATTATGTTAAGATAGCGTTTATAAAAATGGATACAAATATTAACAAAAGCTCTGTAAAAGCCAGATGCAGTGGTGCATACCTATAATCCCAGAGGCTTGGGAGGCTAAGGCAGGAGCCTCAGCAACTTAGCAAGGCCCTAAGCAACTCAGTGAGTCCCTGTCTCTAAATAAAATATAAAAAAGGGCTGAAGGGGCTGGGGTTGTAGCTCAGCAGTGGAGTGCTTGCCTAGCACGGGCGAGGCCCTGGATTCGATTCTCAGCACCACATAAAAATAAAGGCATTGTGTTGTGTCCATCTACATCTAAAAAATAAATTAAAAAAATAAAATAAATTTAAAAAATAGAGGTAGTGTGTCCAACTACAACTAAAAAAAGGGGGGGGGGGGCGGCTGAGGCTGTGGCTCAGTAGTTAAGTGCCCCTGGGTTCAATATCCTGAACCAAAAAAAAAAAACCTCTGCAAAAAGGCAAAAGGCACCAGGATTTACAACTATAGAGCCTAATACCCAATGCAAAACAGTATGTGTGAGATCACAAACCATGAGGCAAGTCAACATCTTGTTAGCGTGAAACAAACCTTAAGAGTCTGAAGTAATACATCAAACAGAAGGGCATACAATTTAAAGAGACAATGCTTTTCAAAGTGAAAGAATCATAAAGTGTTAGTAAATCCTATAAGCCATGCAATGTATTTTTTCAGTGATGTCAGTGAAAAATCTTGAGAAAATAAAAAATAAAACAAGTTCAAGAAAAGAAAACAACCAAGACAGAGACAAACTACATGATTCTGCTTACATAAAATCATAAAATTCTAGAAATATGTAATCTACCTGAAGTAACCAAAAGCAGGTCAGTGGTTGCCTGTGACAGAATGCAGGGAAAAACAAGAAGGAGGGATTACAAATACGCATAAGGAGACCTTTCATTCTGCAGATAGTTTCCCTGAGCACAGGTCAAAACTCAACTGTACACTCTACATACAGTGTGGGCTGAGGGTGTAACTCTGTGGTATAGGACTTGCCTAGCATGCACAAGGCCCGGGGTTGGACCTCCAGCATCCCCTCCAAAACAAAAACAAAACCCAGTACATATAGTGGTCAGTATTCCAAAGCATTAAAAAAATAAATAAAATTCCACAAATAAGAAGAATATAAGAATGATGGGCAACAGTGAGACAGGGGCTGAGGGAGGGGTAAGAAAACAGAGAGAAGGGAAAGAATAACAACCTGTAGTGGTGGTGGTGTTCTTTACATTATCAGACTTTAAGACTTATCAGGATGCTACAGTGATCAACAGAGAGTGGCACAGGCATAAGGATCAGCAAACATGTCACTGGAAAAGAACACAGCACCCAGAATGAAGCCACACTTACACAACTGTCTGATTTTTTATAAAGATGCCACAATCATACAAAGGGAAAAATACTTTCAGTAAATGGTAAACTGGACATCCATAAGAAAATCAGCAAACTATAACCCCTACTCCGCATCATACAAAAATACTGAATCGAATTTTTAGAAACTCTTAGTTTTTTATAAAAGATAAACTATAAACTTTTAAAAGATGATATAAGGGGACAGTTTTACAATTTACTCTTTGAGTATTTGGAGGTGGAATGGTGGGAGGATATCATTAGGTGTATGTTTAATTCTCAAAAAACTACCAAATGGTTTTCCAACTGGTTATATTATTTTAAATTCCCAGACAAGTCACAGAAAATGATAAGCCAACATACTGGAGAGCCTGGAGTGGTGGCATACATCTATAGTTCCAGAACTCTGGAAGCTGAAGTACAAGGATCATTTAAGCCTAGGAGTTTGAGACCAGCATGGGCAACAGAATAATACCACATCTCAAAAAGACCCAAACAAACCAACAAACAAACTGGGAAATTGGGATCCATCAAAACTAAAAGATTTTATGATCAAAAGACATTTAGGGCCAGGCACAGTGGAGCACAACTGTAATCCAAGCAGCTTAGGAGGCTGAGGCAGGAGGATAAAGAGTTCAAAGCCAGCCTCAGCAAAAGCAAGGAGCTAAACAACTCAGTGAGAACTTGTCTCAAAATTTTAAAAATACAAAATAGGGCTGAAGATGTGGCTCAGTGGTGGAGTGCCCCTCAGTTCAATCCCCAGTAATACCCCCCCCCCGAAAAAAAATAGTCTATTTACTCTGTTGACATCTGCACTGTAGGTGAAAAGCATGGTAAAGCTGGCCACAGCCTTAGAAATAATTAAGGCAGTGGCACAAAACTGTTGTACTCAGAGGGAGCCAGTTTCACTTCTGAATCTCCTTGATGAAGTACAAGTTGAAAAACCCTTATTTAAATGCTTGGAAGTGTTTTGGATTTCAGATTTTTTTGAATTCTGGAATATTTGCACATACAAAACAAGGTACCTTGGGGATGGAACCCAAATTTAAACACAAAGGTTCATGTATGTTTTATACACACTTCACACATAGAGCCTGAAGGTAATTTTATATGATGTTTTGGTGTGTCTATGCTTTGAAAATTCCACTGAGGTCAGGTGTGGAATTTTCCTCTTGTGGCATAATGTCTGCCCTCAAAAAGTGGATTCTGTTAGGATTTCAGATTTCAGGATTAAGAATGCTCAACCTACAGCAAAATTTTAATTTTACTAAGTATTAATCCTTGACATTTTTTCACATCCTATATGACAAAACAAAGTATACATAAATAATTTTTCCTTTTTACCGAAGTATGATGGTTATCTGGTGGAAAAGCAACCAAACAATCAAGCTGTAAACTAAATCAGTGTTCTTCTTCATGGAATACCATT